CCCACTAATCTACTCTAATTTCAGTCAGGTGCAACTTCAGTCAACTGAAGTTCCAACTTTAGTCGGATCCCAACTTTAGTCACGACATTGACATGTTAATGAAATATGCGGCTTCGCCGCCCGGAATCATTATTTAAAATTATTGGTTTTTATTATTCGCGTAAGTTTAAAATAAGTCCTTGTTATTCGTGGACCACCAAGAATTTATTCCGAATTATTGTCGGGACGGTGGGTAGTAGGTGATCACGAGTTTTAGATTATGTATTATACGTATTGATATCGGTGTATATAGTATATTTTATTAAAATATGTAATAAATACAAAAAATAAATACGTACAATACTTAAGCAAGTTCCAAATAACGATTTTTTCTAGACTAGATACAACATAAAATATTATAAATTTAAAAATTTAAATCTAACTATTTAAACGCAGGTAATCATCCGCCATCCCGAAAATAATTAGGGATAAATTCTCAGGGTGGTTCACGAATTTTGAAATTAGTTGTAAGAAATTATTTACTATCGCTATGTAGAATACCGCGTTATATCGGTTTAAAATTCCCGTTAAAAATTCGGTACTTTGAATTCAGTCCGTCAAACCGGGTAAGGGTATGTTATACTTCACTAATTTATCTCGATGTACAGAAATACTCGGCATAACGATAAATTAATTTTAAATTGCTTCAGACATCTTGAAACAATGTATATACCTACATATATAGATACATATTTCAATTAGACTTCATTCTAATATATATAATTTTTAAATCCCATAATGTTATGAATTAAGTGAAGAAAATTTTTGATTTGACTTTTTTTTTTTTTTTTTTTTTTAGTGTATAAACACAAGTTGAACACAAGCTAATGATTAAAAACTTTACATCAAATCAAAAACTAGATAAAAAGAAATGTAGTGTTTCAAAATCATGAAATATGCAAAATCATAAAAATATGTTATACTGTTATACTTAGTGAAAAATACATCGTCAATATATCAAATATTCGACAAGTATTTTTCCATATTTGTGTCGAGAGTAAATCATTAAAAATAATCTGACTATACAAAAAAAATAATACAAACATAAATACATAGAACGTAAAATGATAAAGGTTCCCGCCAAGTCTAAACTCAATAAATAATGTCAAATAATACCCGTACTATCAAAACTTGACATTATGGAATAAATAAATAGATAAATAAATCATAAATGGTAAGAATAATAAATAATAATAACATAATATGTAAATAATAAGAATACCGACAATAATAATAAATGAAAATACCATTCCCCTATACCATATATTCCAAAGAAAAAAAAAATATGTACACAAAATGATCAATGACCGAATAAGTTGTATCAACTATCAATTAGCGTTTCCACGAGTATGTAACGAGCTTAAAGATTCAGTACTGCCACTGTCAATTAAACTGACTATTGCTTTTACATCAACACCTGTTTTCGGAATTTTTTTTCCGTTAATCTCATCCTCTTCGCGAGTTACTTCAGTGATATTTGGAGGTGTATTAGTGTTCGTATTTGTTAAAAGTGTCTTTTTCCATTTCTCCGTTTCTTCTAAACTTGGTCGGCGCCTTCTGCCGGTTTTCCCGTCATTAATGCCACTGTGTAGTGATGTCCAATTATTTGATGCTCTTGATGTCAAATTTAGCAAACCTTTTTTAGTGCCGAATTGATCAGAATAATCAAATGACATAAGGGTTGGTGAACTTATATCATTGGAACCTTCGTCTTCAGTAAGGTTTTGCTCTTCTTCTGATTCGGAAAAATCTTCTAATTCTATGACTTTCAACGGAACACTACTAGATCTTAAACGAAAAGAAGATAAAGCTCTCCCTGGTTTTTCTACACCAACTATATTTACTAAAGAATGATTACGCTGTTCAGGAAATTCGTCATAATTAAATTGGCTATTTATATCTTTGTTAGCATCTTTTAATGATGGCGTAGATGGCACTGTTATAGATGATGATGATGAAAGTGGTGAAATTGTAGAGAATGTCGTATTATTTACAACAAAATTTTTCATAGCATCGTCTTGATTATTGTTAGGAGTGTCAATATCGTCCTTATTTACAGGTAAACCTTTTACGGATGATGACGACGACGATGGATATGAATTACTCGAACTATTTGCACTAGGATGTCTATCAATTATCAACAGGTCTTCAAAACTTTTCGTGAAATCTTCGGAAATATAAGTTCTGTGATATACCTGCGGCGCTTGCTTTTCTTTAACTTCTTGTTCTCGTTTTTCATTTTCAATTTCTGTTTCTTCACTATTACATCCTTTTCCAAAAACAATATCTAAATGACATATAAAGGCTTTGAAAAGAATTGAGCCTATTCCCAAACTGGGGCAAAATATCAGGCCGAGGTTGCTAATAGTCATTTTGTTCGTGTCATTTTTACTATCAACGCGAGCAAGATGTGAAAAAAGGGTACGCAATGTATAAAAATGATAGGGAGATAAGCGAGAAATGATGGTTGCAAGATCATGAGGAAGTGCTTCGGGAACCGCAGTTGGAGCGGTGAAATAGGTAGTGGACACCTGTTGGGATCCAGATGCAGGTACAACTGCTGGTGGTATAGCATTGAGATCAGAGTTAGTGTGCTTCGCTATGCATGCACTAAAGTCCGGTAAAAGCTCCTCTGTCAGTATAGATTCCGGCACTGTAGAATAAAAATAATAAATCAATTATGATAGAAAAAAAACATAATTTATTTCGAAATGGTAATTCATAAGCTGTTATTATTATCACATACACTCGCGCAAATACATCTTTAGGAGTGTTGCTACTACATGTGGATCTTCCCTAGAACTTTGTAAAAAATTTAAATCCAGTCCTATAGTAATAATACAACTTATTACTAATGAATAAATTTTTTATAAAACAAACACATATAATGTTTAATATAGCACATACCAGAATTGAAAATATTACGCATACGTTGCACTGACGTCACACTTCCTGGTATTCTAAGTATCAAAACTGTCGAATTAGTTATGAAAATTTATTATATATTATTATATATTATCCAAATAAACATACCGGTAAATGCCAACTTCTTCTAAACCTATGAATGTTAAAATAAAATTTTCGTATATTAATAAATGATTCTCCTAACAAGATAAATTATGATTAAGTTATTAAAAACGAAAAACAATACCGTAAACATCCAAAAATTCTATGCATCTTAGAACTACTGCTGGTACCCAATATCTAGATGGGTCTTTGTAAATTTGTTTCATATCCTTTTCAACACGTGTCAAGGTGACGGCTGTTTTAAGTGGTGCTCCAAAAATGTTTTCCTTGGTTATAAATCTTTTAGCATTAAGAAGACCACTATTCGCTGAAGGATCTAAGAATTGTAAAATCGTAAAGTTACAAGTCGGTAAATAGTGTAAATGAGCATGTAATACTCGATTGATCCCAGAGCACAGATCTTTAAGCATTACCACTGTTCTTTTGCCTTGAGATTAAAACACACCTTCTTTTCGTTTTTTCCATCGATCAACAACAGCATCTCTGGCCATACTGCCAAGTTCTACACCTTTTTTACCTAATTCAACACCCATTTCCGTTACAGCAGCCGTCAAATCAGCAGTCTTCTGTGAAAGATTTATCTCTCTTAATTCACGGGCAATAGATGTTATATTGTAGAGGCGAGGAAAGGATGGAAGTGTTGGTGATTGTGAATTAGAAGTTGATTGGCTGATAGTTGCAGGATCTGTTGTTGAATTTGATGACGTTTGCGCACTTGAAACACTTCCAGAAACACGACGAAAGCGCCTTATGCTCCCTCGTACTGAATTAAAGCCATTTATAGATATTGGTTCCGGAACCGGAGTTGGCTTAGTTCGAAAAGACAACCTCCGTCGAAATGGTTTTGCTGGTGGAAAACCTTTACCATTATTTGTTTCGATTGAAGACATGAAAAGTAATGTACTAATAGCAATTACTTTTCGATTGGTTCTATATCGATAAATCTATTAAAATCCGGTCTTTGGAAATATTATATTGAATTAATACAGCTATTATTTCTAGCTTTAAAAGAAAAATAGTAATTTTTGTGCGCGGTTTGAAATATTCTCAAGAGAAAAAGAACGCTCTTGATTTGAACAAATATTGTTAAGCCTAGAACTTAACCGGTGCCTAGGTTGTAATTCAGGACGTCACAATCAAATTCTGCGATTACGTACTTTATCTAATTTCATGTAGCCTCTAGAATGCATCGAACAACCTGGTGTTTCTTTTTTTTTAGCCGGCAAGAACGTTATTGATGTTATTGACATACCCGAATTTCCTTTAAGCAGAACACATTATTGGTAGAACAGGTTACTTTATTTAGTATATAAGTAGATTATATTGTAACATCTCGTGATATTCATACATATTTATACATCCCTCCCCAGTAGCAGTGGTTAGTGGTGGTTAGCTAATCTTGTATAATAAACAACAAAGTTTCGTGAATTTTGATATTTTTTTGGTTCGACAGGTAAGTAACGATATTTAAATCCAAAGGTTACCTTTCTATTCTGATACTTTTTGCAGTAGCAACCTTCTTCACCATAAATTTGACTTTGCTAGTTAATAGTCATTTATGTTAGTTGATTAAAGTTAACACATCTTTCGTTTTATTTTAAACAGTGCGAAAAAACTTAAATTAGATAAAATGGGACAGGCCGACTCACGGCCTTTACAAGCAATGGTTGACAATAGCAATTGTAACTCTAGAATTTATTTGTAACGTCAAATGTGTTTCTGATAAAATTCAAGAAAATGTTCGACTATCATAGTTATTTAATATTTTTGGCCATTAATTGTTAATAGTTACTGAAGAAGAAATCAAAAGACTTTACAAAAGATTTATGAAGCTTGATAAAGATTGTTCAGGCTCCATTGACCGAGAAGAATTCCTTTCGATTCCGCAGATTGCAAATAATCCATTGGCATCAAGAATGATTGCTATATTTGATGAGGATGGTGGTGGTGATGTAGATTTTGAAGAATTTATTTCTGGATTGAGTGCCTTTAGTGCGAAAGGAAATAAAGTCGAAAAATTACGTTGTGAGTATTGAATAATAATCATTATATTTTTTTTTATT